AATTTAAAATATTAAGAAAAACTTTAATAACATCCCAGGGATATGCAAATAACATTTATAAATGACTCTCTGAATGCATAAATGTGTCTCAGTGTTTATTTCTATTACTACTACAGTCAAACAGAAATAAACTCAGTTCTGACCAGAATCCATGCCTGTGTCTGGAATTGATAAATCTGTTGTCACTAAAATTAGATTAGAAAATAGAAACTCAGAATAAAATGAATAAAACTGAGAAATAATAATACAGTAAATAGCACACAATAATAATAATAATACAAAAAATAATAACACATACATATACTAACCAGAATCGATGCCTGTCTCAGGGACTGATATATCCGTCATCACTAGAAGTAGAGTAAAAAAAAAGAATCTGAGACTAAAATAAATAAAACTGCTAAATAATAATATATAATAAAATGAAATATTGAAATAATACCCAGATAACACACACATGCATATACTTACCAGAATCAGTGCCTGCCTCAGTGACTGACATATCTATCGCTAGAAGTAGAGTTGAAAGAGAAAAACACATACTAAAATTAATAAAACTGCTAAATAATAATATATAATAATAATACATTAATAAATTAAACTATTTTTAAAAAATCACGACAAAATTACTAAAAGTTTACCTAAAATTTAAATGGAAAAAAAGCATTCAAAATATGAATAAAAGCTTTAATAACATCCCAGTGATACTTATATAACATTTACAAACTACATTTATAAATGACTCTCTGAATGCATAAATGTGTCTCAGTGTTTATTATTATTTCTACTAAAGTCAAACAGAAATAAACTCAGTTCTGACCAGAATCGGTGGCTGTCTCTGTGACTGATGTATCTGTCGTCACTAGAAGAAGAGTTGAAAGAGAAAAATTAATAAAACTACTAAATAATATGTATAATAATAAATGGAATATAGATACAATACCTAGATAACACACACATGCACAGAGGCGGACAGTAGTGAAGTAACTATACTCTGCTTTAAAGTACTTTTCAAGTGTCTGTACTTTATCAGTGTTTTTCTTTAGAAAGCTTTACTTCACAACATTCCAAAGCATAATATTGTACTTTTTACTGCGCTACGGTTCATATTAAATATCATTTAATACTTAATTACATTAGAAATCTATTACTTTCTTACTTTTACTCAAGTAAAAGTAATTCAAAGATTTACTTGAGTTCAAGAAAGAACTAAATTTTTAATGTTCTTAAGTATTAAAGGTAAAACAAACAACAACTTTTATTTATGAAATGTAGTGCAGTAAAAATGATGGCATTTTGCTTTGGAATGTAGTGAAGTAAAGTTTTCCAAAGAAAAACACTGATAAACTACAGGTACTTTTTCAGTTTACTTGAGTAATGTAAAAATACTTCACCTCTGCGTGACATGCATATACTCACCAGAATGAGTGTCTGTCTCAGTGACTGACGCGTCTGTCGTCACTAGAAATACAGCTGACAGAGAAACACAGATACAACCGAGAGTGTGTGTGTGTGTGTGTGTGTGTGTGTGTGTGTCAGTAGTACAGTACCTCCATCTCTCTCAGCATATGTCAGTGTTGGCACAGAGCTGCTGCTTTCAGTCTGAGCCCAAACCGGCACACTACTGCTCGTGTGAGTATGAGAGAGAGACGCTGTGCTGCTCCACACCTCTGAAGACACAGCTGACAATATGAGAGAGAGAGAGAGAGAGAGAGAAAGAGAGAGAGAGAGAGAGAAAGAGAGCAAGAGAGAAAGAGAGGGAGAGAGAAGGAAGACATGACGACGTTTGGTATGAAAGGAAGCAGAGAGGATGTAAAGATTATGGAAGATTGAGGACAGAAAAAAAGGTAAAGGGAAAAACATGAAGCGGCAGAGTAAGCAAGGAAAAGGAAGGCAGGGGAAAGGCAGGGGAAGACAGAGGGAAAAGGTCTATGGAGACTCATTGAGACAAGCCTTGACTTTGGCAAATGCAGCCACGCAGATGGAGAGAATAAATATTGGACAGGGATCTCACATCACTTACAGAGAGAAGTGGGGGGGG